ATTCTATCCGGATTTGTTTGTGTTAATTAAAAACAAACAAACAAACAAACAAAAAACTCAGCTAGAAAGACTGTCATCCTAAACCTACTTTTCTACATTTAGCTGAAATCACCCACATGAAGAGAACAGGAGTTTAGGAAAATAGAGCACTATAGCCAGAGAGAATGCAGGGGAAAGGGACCTAGAGGAAGGAGAGGACTTCTGAAAAGAAAGAGAAAATGCAGCCCTGGCCTGTGTGACTCAGGGGTTGGAGCGTTGGCCAAAGCACAGAGGGATTGGGGGTTCTATTCCTGGTCAAGGCACTTACCTGGGTTGCAGGTTCGATCCCTGTCCCCTGTCAGGGGGTAGTCAGGAGGCAGCCAAGGATGTTTGATATCTCTCTCTTTCTCTCCCCCCTCTCTCTCTCCCTTCCACTCTCTAAAAATCAATGGAGCCCTAACCGGTTTGGCTCAGTGGATAGAGCGTTGGCCTGCGAACTGAAGGGTTCCAGGTTTGATTCCGATCAAGGGCATGTACCTTGGTTGCGGGCACATCCTCAGTGGGGGGTGTGCAGGAGGCAGCTGATCAATGTTTCTCTCTCATGGATGTTTCTACTTCTCTATCCCCTCACCCCTTCCTCTCTGTAAAAAAAGAAAAAAAAGAAAAAAAAAGAAAAGTACATTATTGTCTACTAGAGGGCCCAGTGCACAAAATTTGTGCATGGGGGGGGGGGTGTCCACAGTCCAGTACTACTGGCTCCCAACCGCTCGCCTGCCTGGAGCCTGATCACCTCCTAACCACTCCCCTGCTGGCCTGATTGCCCACAACTGCCCTCCCCTGCTGCCCATCTTGTGCCCACATGGGGGCGGCCATCTTGTGTGTTGAAGTGATGATCAATTTGCATAGTACCTCTTTATTACATAGGACTAGTGGCCTGGTGCACAGATTCGTGCACCAGTGGGGTCCCTCAACCTGGCCTGCACCCTCTCACAATCCGGGACCCCTTGGGGGTTGTTGGATAGCTGGTTTTGGCCTGATCCCCGCAGGGCTGATCCAGACAGGAGGGAGCCCGATCCCCGAAGGCCTGATCCTGACAGGAGAGAGCCCAATCCTATGCATTGAGCATGTGTCCCCTGGTGGTCAGTGCCAGTCATAGCAACTGGTTGACCAGTTGTTCGGTTGTTCAGTCACTTAGGCTTTTATATATATAGATAACTTGGGCAGACCTGTATGGATACTATTCTAAGCAATTTAGATGCT